ACACCGAACCTGTTAAATGACCCGAAATGTTGTAACGTTGTCTCCCAGTCAAACACCTGAGCATCTGTTTTTTTTATTATAATTTATATATGTTCATGGTTTGACGAACGAAATAAACTCTCTCTCTCTATTAGTTTAAAAAACTGACTTCTGGACTTGGCTAATTTTATACATATCAAAACTTGTAAATATTTGCATATCAAAACTTTCGTTCCATCGTATTTCGTTCCATCCATGTATTTTCCACATGTTTTTCCAATAAAACATACTTACGCCTTACTACTGTTATTTGTAGCTTATTATTGTTAGCTAATTATTTTTGAGGTGGGGCGCAAGACTTCACAAATTCTAAAAAAGGGCTTGAAATGTTTGGGAATGTTTGTATGTAGTAGACCCTAACCTGGTACACATGGTTCCCGTGTCTACCAACTGGGTTTACATACTTCAAGAGTACCTTTTTGTATTACAGTTGTGAAACAGAAAAAGCTGAATGTCGGTCTTATTCCATCTGTAAATTTACCAAAAACTCCACAAAGAATGAACAATCTGTATTATCGATGAAATGAAAAGTGACATAAAAAAATACAGAAGCTGTAGAAAATATTTTGCATTACAGAAAAATTACTTCACATATTAAATATTTTACATTACAAAAAAAATGGTGCTCCAGAAGTATGTGTACCAATATGGTTGTGTAAATGGACTAAATTCTATCGGTAGGAGGATATTCACTTGTGTAACACAGACAATTCCCGAACTTTTAACAGAACAAAAATAAGGAGAATCGTAACCTAACCTGGTACACATACTACGAGAGTACCGAAAAAACAGCCCACATAGTAAAAGCAGATATGGAAATACTTTACATTGCAGAAAAATTAATTCACATAGTAAATAGCAGACGAAGGAAATATTTTGCATTGCAGAAAAAATAGCTCACATAGTTAATAGCAGTCATGAAATATTTCTCACTATTGATTACAAAAGTATAATTGCATCCAAATCAACAGTATCTATATGAAGGATCGTTAAAATTAAATAATATGCAAGAATCATATTGATAACAAAATGTATTCTAATCAATTTTAATATATCTAAAACAAAATTTTAATAATTTTTTTTTGTAAATTTACAATACATGAAAATATGTGAAACAAACTCAGGTTCTCCATTACATAATACACACATTTCATTCCCTGCTTTTCTTCCAATTTCTGGCTTTTGTTTTCAATGGCAAGATATCCCAGAGTAATTTATGATAAAATCAGTAATTTTAATAAGTGAACGAATAGCTCGCAGAGCCATGTGATTCATATGGAGCACAGAGCTATGATTGAGAGAGGCTGTGGTTCGCCATATATTTAAGCCTTCCCTTTCGGCTTTCTTCTCCCCTTGGATAAATATGTAAATTCCATGTTATATCAATTAATAAATACATAAATAACCGCACTCCTCTCGGCGACTGGTTCATATTCTGTTCTGTAGATACGTTTTCTGTCTAATAGATATGCATTCCCAATAAGCATATGCTCATAGTTGTATGCTTTCAGCGTACCATACTTCTAACCTAAAATAAAATATGTACTGAAGAATTAAAGACCTCAATACGGCCAATTTCGCACCCGACTAGGCTGGAGCAAGGGATTTTGGCAGCGAGCAACGCGTTTTTTTAATATGCAACGAATCATTTAGCTGGACGACGTAAAAATGCAGGGAACAATGCCATAATGAGCAAATCTTTGCAAGTTTCCACTCATTGTATATATGCTCATTGGCCCGTGATACAGGAAAAGCAGAGAATATAGGACAGATGGTAACACATATTTATTGTAGTAAAAGCGTCTTTTCCGTATAACGTGCAACTTTTGGAAATGGGGACAAGTCATTATTTGTTACTAACTTTCTATGGAACATTTTAAAATCATTTCCAGGTGGTTTTCTTATGTGCGCTACGAAACTGAAAGATAAACGACCTCGTCTCGCGGCCTAAAGGCGACCGAAAATCAAAGTCATTACTCGAACTGTATTATGTCACCTAGTGGCCAAAAAGGCCAAGAGCCAATTGTCTGAAAGTCGTAAGAAAAGTCGTTTCTGTGCAATTGGTCACGTTTGGATAGGATACAGGTATAGGATTTACATTTCCATGCTTTTGCTTTATTGGTTTCCGATTTGACATACAGTATGTAACGTATATAGCCAACTATGGTGCCGTTACGTTCTCATCAGACCTTACTGCCTTATCCAATGGTTTGACTCTAAACCGCTATGTTAATAGTTCACTTCTAGTGGGCGTACCGGTAGCATGCGACGAAAAAACGAGAGAAATATGGTACCGGTACGGTAGCTGTTCGATTTCGGAGTGGAAGTGGTGACTCCTCTTCGGCCCATGGGCCGGGGCCACGGCCCATCAAATTGGGCCTAGGCCCATCAGGCTATGGGCCGCGGCCCATCAAGTTGTGTAAAGGAACTATTCACTTGGCTAACACAGACAGTCCCCAAACTCATAATAGAACTATAATGTAAAAAATCTGAACAAAATTTTGCCCTAACCCTAACCTGGTACACATACTACAGGAGTTTATTTTTTGGTTCGAATATTGACAATTTTGTGAAAATTGAAAATTTTGGTAAGATAATTGAATTTTTCCTGACGGGGCCGCGGCCCATAGCTTGATGGGCCACGGCCCATGTGGCCCAATTAGATGGGCCGTGGCCCCGGCCCATGGGCCGTAGAGGAGTCACCACTCCTGTAGGTGACATCGTGTTGACGTAATTTTCGGATGGTGTAGTCAGGTGGGGGTTAGGATTGATAAGTGAAAAAACTGTCATGTTACGCCGGGTAGGTACGAAACTACATGAGACCCCATTAAAACATGGTAATAATGCAATGCACCTCATGCAATTATTTTTTTTAAATATAGATTTCTGCTTTATGACAAAACCAAATAGCATAAGAATATTATGAAAACAGTAAAATATTGTAACTTAACTGACATGTAGATGAACGGAAAACTGGTAGGCTAGTTCGTATAGTGTGAACAGTTAAAAAAACATGATACTGTGATAGGAGGTTAGCTACTTTCCCCTAATTAATTACAGTATGTCATGCAGTTGTTAATCAGCACTTTCCTTCAAAAACTTTAGGGTTGCTACGCCTTTAATTGCCTCAATTCTCTGCAGTACTGCAGTATGTCCTGCATTAGAGAAGACCCTTTCACATGGAGTTGAGGTAGCGCATTTTATTATCATGTCACTATGTAAGTGGATCAATTTAGCAGCATAGAACCTCTTTTAGTGGTCGGGCTCATTTGCTACTTTATCCGATGACGCTAATTTTTCTGAACCATCGGAGTCTACACATCTGAAATAATTTTGACAAAAGTGATGACTAGGGCTGTCCAAAATCGAATAATTTTTTGATTCAAAACGAATCGAATATTTACGCCGAATCGAACCGAATAATCTAATATTATTGCGCAATCCTAAATCTGTCTCTATTATACAATAAACGCCTGCCCTTCGATGTCGTGGTGACGTATATGCAGTTACATCTTACTTACTGCTGGTATTTTGCAATACAATGTTTTCAGATTTATGAAAGGAGATCACACGCTTGTATGAACTGGTCAAATTTGAGGACTCCAAAATTTGAGTCTCAAAACTGTTGAGTGTTAATTAAGGGTAAAAATTGCAATCTCAATTCTAATGGATTCAGTTTTAATAGGACAAGTAAAGCCTGTAGATGCTATTTTAATCCTATCCACCAGGGTTGTGTTTTTTTGTGTTATTTTCAGCAAAATAATAACAACCATTAATATAGATAAAACTGTTGCTCAAATTCAAAATTGCATTTAACAAATTCAAAGCTAGTTTGATGACTTTAATATTGTTAGTGTAAACAGCCATTAAAAATCAGGAGTGCAATTATATGTCTTGGTATATTGATGAATAATACAGTATTGCCATCATGAGAAATTACGAACTCCATTGAAATAAGGTATTGCCATCATAAGGATCCCAAAACACCTGTCAGTTTTAATAGGACAAGTAAAGCCTGTAGATGCTATTTTAATCCTATCCACCAGGGTTATGTTTTTTTGTGTTATTTTCAGCAAAATAATAACAACCATTAATATAGATAAAACTGTTGCTCAAATTCAAAATTGCATTTAACAAATTCAAAGCTAGTTTGATGACTTTAATATTGTTAGTGTAAACAGCCATTAAAAATCAAGAGTGCAATTATATGTCTTGGTATATTGATGAATAATACAGTATTGCCATCATGAGAAATTACGAACTCCATTGAAATGAGGTATTGCCATCATAAGGATCCCAAAACACCTGTTTCAGCTTTGACTTGCCTGTACCAAGTTCCTATGATAACTAACTTAACAGCTTCATATCGATTTTATTTATAGAACTATCGTTTTTAAATTGCCTTTTTCTCCTTGTTCTCTCTCAAAAACGTCATTACAGATAACTTTTAAGTTATGATGACCATGCCTGAAATGGCTAATCACGTGCCAACCGGGCAGGCATTAGGAATGACATGTCTATCACAAAATGAAGGCAAGAGAAATAGGGAGAAATATCGGGAAACCAATTAAGCCAGGAGCGAGAGTGGTCTAAACTCGAAGCACCGCCGCTTGCCCGATAAAAAACGTCCTGCAAAGGTGGTTTCCGCTTTATGTACCTAATCTTAGCGATTCGAATAATTTGCGATTCGATTCGATTTTGAATAATTTGCGATTCGATTCGATTTTGAATAATTTGCGATTCGATTCGATTTCGAATATTTGGTTCGCTTGGACAGCCCTAGTGATGACGTATCGTTGATATATTTTTTATGAAGTTAAAACGTGATACCATGATGAATTTCAGTTAACATTTTCTATGACATCATGATACCCGCTTCAAAAGTCGAAACAGCGTTGTTTTTACCTTACTTTTGATTATAATTCCTTTCTTTATAAACCATATCTTCTCATGACAGTAAATTAGGCCTATAACATTAGAGGTGTTTAAAAATATAATCATGGACACCTATGATGTCATTGCGAATCAGCCTGTTGTGATTGATAATGGATCAGGTGTTATCAAAGCAGGGTTCGCAGGAGATCAAGTTCCAAAATGTCATTTTCCAAATTATATTGGTCGACCGAAGCATATTCGAGTAATGGCTGGTGCTCTTGAAGACTCATTATTCATTGGCCCGAAAGCTCAGGAACACAGAGGATTGCTCAGCATTAGATATCCAATGGAACATGGGATTGTAACAGATTGGAATGATATGGAGCATATATGGCAATATATTTATTCAAAAGATCAGCTTCAAACTTTCCCAGAAGAACATCCTGTTTTATTAACAGAAGCTCCATTAAATCCTAGAAAAAATCGTGATAAAGCAGCAGAAATGTTTTTTGAGACTTTTAATGTTCCCGCTTTATTTGTTTCCATACAAGCTATTCTTTCATTATATGCGACTGGTCGAACTACCGGTGTTGTTATAGATGCCGGCGATGGAGTCACACATGCTGTGCCTATTTATGAAGGCTTTGCAATGCAACACTCAATGGAAAGAATTGATTTGGCTGGCCGTGATGTCACCAGATTTCTTAGAATGTTACTGAGAAAAGAAGGTCACAATTTCAAAACAACAGCAGAAAATGAAATTGTAAAAACAATCAAGGAGAAGGCATGCTATCTTGCACAAAATCCCCAGAAAGAGGAAACTGCAGAAATAGAAAAGAAAGCTTATGTATTACCTGATGGAAGCACAATAGAAATTGGTACAGCTAAATTTAGAGCTCCGGAGGTTCTATTCCAACCAGATTTAATTGGCGAGGAATGCCACGGCTTACACCAAGTTTTATGTTTCTGTATTCAAAAATGTGACATGGACTTGCGTAGAACATTGTATCAAAATATTGTGCTATCAGGAGGCTCAACATTGTTCAAAGGGTTTGGAGACAGATTACTGTCAGAAGTCAAGAAGTTGGCACCAAAAGATATCAAAATACGGATTTCTGCACCACAAGAAAGATTATATTCAACATGGATCGGAGGATCAATTCTAGCTTCCCTTGACACTTTCAGAAAAATGTGGGTCAGTAAAAAAGAATATGAAGAAGATGGAAGCAGAGCTGTTGCCAGAAAATGTTTTGATTTGAAATATATCCAGTCTCATGAAAGTGGAGAGATGATGCAGTAGGCCGAAGTAATCATTACCTATGTGTCATTACCTTACTGTTTTAGAATATGAATGTCCATTATTACACATCAATAATCCTAGTGAAATTTATGCTGAGGTGCCCAAAGTACTATTTTGCAGTCCTATCTTGTGCCCACATCAACATATTCTAAAATTCAACCTCGAATAAATTTTGGATTTCTATTTTTCCGGAAAATTTTAATAAATGTGTTAGATTTTTTTCTTCTCAATTTGACAAAAAGCAAAATTAAATTAAGATTTGAACAAGGAATTCAAGTCCAATTCTTTGAATATCCCTATACTCTGGTTTGCAACGTTTAAATATACAACTTCGCTTTTTTTTAACTTTAGTACATTTTGGTTGGTTGGTTTCTTTTTGTTTTGTATTGATAGCTAGATGTCGGAGAAAATGTTTTGAAGTAAATTCTAAATATGCTTTTGCAACCATGGTACCAACAGGTGTGACAAAACATATTTTCTTAATTGTATGTGAAAACAAGTGTATATGTTTTAAAACCATGACTAGACTTTAAATTACTTAGTCAACATTTTCTTTTTTGGTCATTAGTATTTATGTAGGGTTGAATTCATCTTTTTTCCCCACATGTTGACGAATCCAGCTTACATTATGAGATTATAATGTTGTATTATACTATGTTAGACGACCTTTCAGTAAAATGAACTTCACTGTATAGTGTAAAGTCTACCGCAGTTTCGATGAAGTTCAATACCAGACCCTAAAACAAGTCAGGCATCTAAACAGAGGCACTTGCATAAAAAACCAAGTATGTTATAAATAGGGCTGTCCAAGCGAAATGAATATTCGAAATCGAATCGCAAATTATTTGAATCGTTTTCCGGCTAATTTGCGAATCGCTGAAATGCGGTACATCAAGCGGGAAAAGCCTCATTACCTTTGCACGGTGTTTTTCATCGGGCAATTGAAACATATTTCTCTCGCCTTCATTTTGCGGTAAAAAGGTGCCTCTCCTATTGCCCGGTGGTATGTAATTATCCATTTCATGCATGGTCATAACTGGAAGGTTATTACCGATAATGACGTTTTTGAGAGAGTACACAAGGGGAAAAAGGGAATTTAGTCTCTGTACAAAATGCTAGTTCTATAAATAGAATTTTAAGGACTTCTAAAGTTAATGGAACCGTGATCTCCTTTTATAGCTCTGAAAACATAATTATGCAAAATATCAGCAGTAATTTGGATGTAAATGCACATATGTTATCACAATATCGCATGGGGAGTTTTTATTGTACGATAGAATTAGGATTCCGCAATAAAATTCTGTTCGAATCTGAAAAAATATTCGATTCAAATCAAAAAAATTTTCGACAGCCCTAGTTATAAACATCGGTCAATACTGTCAGGTTTTAGTTCATCTTCGAACCAAAGAATGAACTTTACCAAGGCTCATCACTTGCAGCTTGATGTACCAAAAATACCAAACCGATTCAGGAAAAATATTCGATTTGAATCAAAAAAATGTTCGATTTTCGACAGCCCTAGTTATAAACATCGGTCAATACTGTCAGGTTTTAATTCAATATCGAACCAAAGAACGAACTTTACCAAGGCTCATCACATGCAGCGTGATGTATCAAAAATACCGCAACCCTAATAATTCATAGAACTGATGAGTCAAATTTGAACTAATTGCTACTAATTTTACCAGTGGTATCCAATTAAAAAAAAAACTGTTAATTTGAAGTTGAGTAGAATATTTGGGAAAAGTGAGAACACACCTATTATATTGGTCAGATTCATAATGTGGACATTTCATTCATGTTTCCTTCCAATTCATTTTTCTTGAAGTTTATATTGTCAACTTTTTTAACCAGACCAGAGAATTTTTCAGCAAAAAATTGAGACATTAGGCAGCTCAATTTGCTACTGAATCTTTTTGTGTATTTGGAATGACAGTGACCAGTCTAGGTTTAAAATCTCATGTCTTTGCACTGCACTTACTAAAGATCAGATTATGTTCAAACATATTGTTCCATATTTTTCTTTGTCATACTAATCTTCATTTTAACACATTTATTCAATTAGCTATTCTCTTTGAAGTTTCAATGGATATGTGAATTCTAATTTGGTGATTTCTTGGTCTAGTTAGTATGTCACAATATGTTATTGCTAAATTGTGTATGAATGAATTGCATGAAGTAACGTAACTATGAAGTATATTATATTTATTTGTTTATGAAAGTACCATGACTAAAATTGTCCAAATATGAAATGTTCTCCCTCTGTGGTGGATGGAGAGATTGTGAATTAAGGAGTTTAGGAATAATGACAGGCAATCAGTACTGAGCTAGTGATATATGGGCGTTGGTCCTTGAGAGGTTGTTTTGCCGTGGAGGCTTTTGACTTTTGCAGCTGAGGTACGCGGGTGACGGGATATTGCAGCATTTACTAACAACGCGAATCGCCGTTAGGACAGGAGTGCATTTTGAATACGGCACGACGCGGCAGCTGTCAAGTCGGGACGCGATTATGGACACTAAGATATACCGTACTTCATTTAGCATACGCCCTACCCTGGAGTATCAAAAAATCCTTTTCTTAGTCGCAGAAATATCATCTGCCATCAGTTTGAACAAAATCCACCCCAACAACAGACTTTATTATTGAGAGAGAGATTTATTGATTTGTCAACCAAAACAACTATAAATATGAAAGCATGTACATACAAATAAATAAACACTGTTATTGGTAAAGACTGGAGGGAGCAAAAAGAATGACAAATATTATTCTGACTTGGCAGACTATTTTGAGGGGTCGAAATATACCTACACCCGATTTTGAAACAGGGGGGGGGGGGGGTGAATTTTTGGTGCTCTGGAGCCAGGTCATGGAAAATTTAGAGCCAGGCCACGCAAAATATGGAGCCACGCCAGCGTATTTTTTTATCATAAAAATATACTTAAGTTATATATAATTTCAAAAAATTATGCACAAGGGAGAGATTAGGATATGTCCAGATGTCGGTAATACACATACTCTTTTTTTCCCGGTTATAATAAAATTCCTAACAGCAAACAAGATTCATGCATTTATTAGTTGATAACTATTTCATTTATTGAAAGATATGCGAAAACATATATTTAATACAAATTGCTCAAGATTTGCAGACTCCCCTTCCACTCTTTTCGGAAATAAGATTCATCTCAGGGGGAAAAGGTCAGAATAATAAAATGGTCAACCACCCGACTTGAGACTCCCTATTAATGGCTTTATATCCAGTGCAATGAAAACCAGGGGATATCGATTTTTATGCGAATTGTGTAATTAAATTGCGAGTACAAAAAGTTAAAATATGAAAACAAAAGCAACTCTCATAACCTTAGTTCCAAATTTATATTAAGCCGTGTATAGTCTGAAAATATTTAATCATAAAACTGATTTGAGGGAATTGTCAAACTCTTTTAACTGGAACCGGTTTATGTTCAACAGAAAATTTGCAAAATCAACGCGATTACATAGAAATTCAAGTTTGGTGAAGCAGAATAATTTTGAGCCTATTTTTTCGATTTCTACATTTTATATTGTTTGAGGTATAAAGTCTATTTTTTTTGTCTGACTATCAATAAGCCGAATTAAAGCATTCGAAATGATCACCAATTTGGAAAGTATTCGAATATTCAATTTGTTTTTTACCAACTATCGTACATGAACATTACTGTGATAAGGTTGAGTATCTCCTACACAAGATAAAACAAAAATCATGTAGAGTCTGTTTTGTTGTCATCATGCAGGCATAGCAGACACCATGATTTAATTTCTTCCCCTTCTTCTCTCCAAGCTGTAAGACAGAAAAATTATTGATGACTTGGGTCATCTAAACTTCGGAAGTTTGAAAACAAACACTTGCAAAGACGCAGCGCAGCGTCAGTGCCACAGATTGGCAACAGTGTCACAAAAGAAAATTTGGAAGATCTACGCAGATACCCATGGCTATGGGGTCGGAAGAAGTTCAGTACGACTTTGAGTAATTTCAAACTCCGATTTATTCAGAGTTTAAAATATTAAACTCCGAGTCCGAAATCCGATGCAACGAAAGCCTGTTTTAATTTGATAGGTCCAATCCGATCGACTCCTTCCAGAGTATAAAGTAAAACTCCCGACTTCTCCCAACCCGACTTCTGATTCTGATAGTTAATTGAAAATAATTCTATATTCACTAGGAGTCGTCAATGAACAATAGGTATAGCACACGAAAGCCGTTTAGGGTGTGTCCACGTGCTTTTGAAGATTGAAACCTGTAATTGGGACCGAACTCATAGTACCACTATTGAGTAGAAGATTGGCCCTGCAATGTGTGCCAAAGAAATAAAACAAGAACGGTGACTGTCCTAGCTTTTCCAGGTCGTTGACGCACTAAACGTAATCTTATATAAAAATTGGTGTCTCCGAAATTTCGCGTCCCACGTGTCCCATAGGAAATACAAATGTGTGCTGTCCCCTTCCATCCCATGGGACGTTTCCCATGGACAAGCGTGGAAATTAGCATTGTTGATATTTACACTTTTTCTTCAAACCGCCAACGTGAGTCACTCCGATAATCGGTCTCTGACAATAACATAGAAATTTTACTCAAACTATTTATGTTATTCAATTAATGTTACAATTAGACACTTGATAATTGAACTCGCATCACGTGATCTGTTTCAATGAAATTTTCATGCGATACGACAAGAGCATGATTGCAAGATTAGCTGACAATAGAAAACTCAAAACAAACAAAAAAGCAAAAAAAAAATGTGTCTTAAAATATCAAAAAGAAATCAAATGTTTATCATTCAATTAAATGTATACTCTGATAGATTAGTAAAGAGTACGTTGACCCTAACGCCATAATTATTTTATCGTTGCTATTTGCACGCTCAAGGACACTGCCGCGAATCGAATTTACATAACATAATATTTATATTTAAACTGTGTCTTTCGTGGTTCCCTTCATAATGCGGTTTTAGCTAGTAATGTACGCTTTGTTGAAAAATTTTTGCAAGGAAAGAAGACAAAAAAGTCCAAGATGAGCTCAGGAAATGACACAATGGTTTCCGATCAGAGTCATCAGTCTTTGATCGATGAGGACATGTTCACAATTGTAAGAAAGAAAAATGGCCATTTAGAACAAGGCAGAGCCATGGTACGTTAAAAAAGGGAAGCAGAATTTCGACAGAAATTTTCTCATTTACTCATCTCGAACGGGACGAATTCGATAACACATATCGCTGGAGTTTCCACATCGTTAACAGACATGGCATAAAATTGTATGTCACATTTAATGAAACTGGGAATGTACATCTCGTACCAGCCAGCACAAACATAAATGACAGGTAAATGTTGTCAATCCTTCGAAGCTTTGTTCATTACCTGAGCATGAATTCTGTCAAATAGCAAGTTTTCTGCTTCTACACCATTCTTCATATGCTACATGGAAGATGAATAAGCGCATAGCGCCTAATAATCGAGTTCAGCCATAATTTCACCTGTGTCGCATGCTGCCTATTAGCCTACTACTACAGGCAATGAGAATTGAACAGTACAGTAAAATTGATAAAGTGGGCGGCCGAATAAACCACGGAAATAAAAAATCTGGACAGATGTTGCATAATATTATGGAAGAACTAAATTTGCAAGACTCCTTTAGAGTATTAAATGCAAGCAAGAAAGTATACTCCCATTTCCATAAACAATCAAAAACTGCCACCCGAATTGATATGGTGCTATTATCTCAGCATTTGTTGCAATATCAGTGCAAAACCGATATTATACCTTGTGTTTTGTCTGATCACTCTATAGCATCTCTATGGATTGATATTAATCCTGTACCCAGAGGTACCGGATACTGGAAGCTGAACTCTTCCTTGTTAAATGATGAGAAATATGTTACCAAAATTAGACAAGTAATCCAAAATACCATAATGGACCACTGCATGGAATACGTTGATCCAAATGTTATGTGGGATACAATTAAATTAATAATTCGTGGGGAATCAATAGCCTATGCAAGTAGGAGAAAAAAACTGTATGGAAAGAAGATGAAAGATCTTGAACTATCAATATCTTCGCTGGAAAGCAAGTATGCCAGTCATCAATCCGATGACAATATGCAACAACTGGAAATTGCAAAACAGTCTCTAAATGACTTGTTGAAGCAAAAAACTCGTGGGTACCTGATCAGAAGTAAAACTAAATGGGCTGAAGAAGGGGAGCATAATACAAAATATTTTTTCGGTCTTGAAAAGAGACATAAACAAAGGACATCTATTGTACAACTATATGAAAATGATAGAATAATCTCAGATCAAGAAGAAATATTGGAATGTATCAAACTATTTTACGCAGAATTATACTCTGAAACATCATCACAGAATGTTGATATAGAGGAAATATTGCAAGGGATCAAGATACCACACATGAAATCTGGAGTTTCAGACCTATGTCCTGGTGTTATATCAGAAGGTGCTTGTTTCGAGGCTTTGAAATCAATGAAATCTGACAAATCCCCCGGGCTTGATGGTCTTCCAGCAGAATTTTATAAGGTGTTTTGGGAAGATATTAAACATCTTCTGATGGCTAGCTACAATCATTCATTTTGTAAAGGGACTTTGAGCAAAACACAAAAAAGGGGATTAATAACTCTTCTTCCTAAGAAAGGACAAACTGAACATTGTATAAGCAATTATCGCCCAATAACTTTATTAAACGTGGACTATAAAATACTGAGCAAAACATTAACAAACCAAATGAGTAATGTAATCAACAAAATTGTTGATCTTGATCAAACTGGATTTATTAAGGGGAGAAATATAGGGGATAATATTCGTCTGATTTGTGATGTAATTGACCTAACTGTTGCTGAATCATTGCCTGGAGCTTTAATTTTTCTTGATATACAAAAAGCGTATGATAGTGTGAAATGGGACTTCTTGTTCAAAATTCTTCATGTATTTGGATTTGATCTTAAATTCATAAAATGGGTTAAAATCCCTTATAATGATATACAGTGTTGTGTCACAAACAATGGTCATATTTCAAATGATTTTGGAGTCCATAGAGGCTTAAGGCAAGGTGATTCTTTCAGCTGTCTTACATTTTTACTGGTAATTGAAATTTTTGCAAACATGGTCAGGCAAAACCCAAAAATTGAACCCATAAAATGGAGGGATATTTCCATAAAAATTTCTATGCTTGCTGATGATGTAACTGTAATAACCAATGGATCAAAAT